ATGGGATTTGAACCCTAGACCTGCTACTTGGAGAGGGTGACGACTTGACCACTTCACTAAGCCGCCACACCTCTAAGGATCAAATTTATATATATAAGGGCATTCATTTTTCATATATAAAAACTGGTTAAATATATATAAAAACACTATATAACAATAACATATAAACAAATTGATTAGTGATCAATAAAAATTTTTTTTGCTATATAATACCAATATGTTTAACCTTTAATTAACTAAATACTGACATTCTATTTATCATTTATCTAAATTTAAATTTATGGCAAATGTTTTAAAAAAGAAAAAAAGAGGACAACACAAGATAAAATTACCATATGTGTATTTCTAGCATTAATTAAGTTTTTTTTTTAAATAAAAAATACTGTATGTTACCAAATAGAAGCAACTAAAATGTTGCAAAAAAATGAGAACTTTTTCGAGCCAAAATGAAGTGGTTGCTTTTATTTGAATACAATTTTATTAGTAAAATATAATAACTATAGTCAAATTTTTAGCTCCAAAATCTGAGGAGTTGCTTTTATTTGGGGGCTGCTTTTAATTGGTAATATATAGTAGTTTGATGATTTATATATGAATGTACTAATAAATGCTTTATTATATTTATTTAGAATAAAGAGAATATATTGTCCAAGAGAAATAAAAATAATAGCATAGGATGATTCTATTGATTTACTTTTGTAAAATAGTAAAAAAAAAATAACTTGGCAATTTGCCAGACTTTATTTAGCAAGAGTAATCATTCAGTTCTATGAAGAATATGCAGTTTATTTAAATAGTTTTCTTGATATAATAACACAAAAAACAACTTCTTTATTATATATATATTTAAAACAATAAAAGAAAGAATCTTTAACTTTTTGATACTCAAGTACTTGATGTCACTACCCAGTCTCTTGCTACTACCACTCAGTCTCTTACTATTACTACCCAGACTCTCACTGCCATCACTCAGACACCCATTTTTTTCAGCTGTACTAGAATTCTGACTCTTGCTAAACTCCTCAAAAAAGACAAGTTTATTGCATTTCTATGAGAGTTCAATAATAATTTAGCATCAATTCCATATTATTGTAGCTAGCATGTAGGTGCCTATAAAGGCTATTACCATTCTCACTTGCACATGCTAATAAGGTACATTGGGAATCTATTTCGAAGTGAGGATGCTTCAAGCCAAGGCCAGACTGATATGTGGGTGTCAACAGATAAAGCAATATATTATATAGAGTTTAAATGTTATTTTCAAGAAACAATGAAAGAATTATTGATTACAAATCTAGTGAAACAAGTGGTTAATCAAATTTTTGAAAAAGAATATTATATTGATAATATCGTTTATATCTCCAAAACCCAATTCGCAGTTGATTGTATCTGCTCTACTAAGACAAGAAATATTTGCAGTATGAGTATGCAAGAATTTGTTACTGAATCTGGTGGTTTAAATATACATGGTTTGCTTTTTAATAAATTTTATATATTATAATTTGAATTTTACTATTATTCGAATTGTATTAAATTCTATAAATAGAAAGGATTTGAAGATTTATATACAGAAATTCGCTTTTTAATAAATTTTAAATATATTATCCCTTAAACCGTATTCCAGACAAATTTGCCTGGAAAATTGAAAAGTATTTACAAATTTTTAAATAAAATTA